TGGAGTAAAACCCAACTTTGTGTATTGGGATTTGAAATTTGGTATTTCTTTGGATTTACCTTATCTCTAAAGTGTAAAGGGACCGTAGGCCTAATCTAAAGTTACCATTCATTTTTATAAGAGTTGCGTGTTCAATTTACAGCAGTACCCTTTAAACCTTTGACAGATTAGTGATCAAGGATGTTGCAACGATACTTATAATTGTTGAATGCTTGAATAGAAAGCTTTTATATATTTCAGAAACAATTATATTTACTTTCTCAAAGTTGCAGAAAATATAACTATTTATATTAAATTAAAACCCCTTTGGACACCGACTTCTTCGGTATTTTCGAGTTAATATGTGACATCAGCTGTGTCGAGTTCACGCCATACGCTAGTGTACACTCATTTTACGGCAATTGGAACACAATCAGAGAGATGAACACAATGAGTTTAATCAGCTCAATGATCAGTTAAAGGTTTAAAGGGTACCGTTGTAAATAGAGTATTGTCATCTTTGCATGGAAGGTCACGTAAAATTATTCATCCAGTCCCTTTAAGAACTTAATTTTTATAAAACAGTTCTTGGCAAATAATGTATAGATGATGTAACAGCGTGGTGGGGAGGGGAGTGTGTACGGGGGGCGGGTCTCTGTTTGGTTTAAGAATTTGAACAAGAGAAAACAAATCTAAGCTATTGATTAAACACTTATTAGATTGGTTTAGTTCTAACTTGCTAATTTGCACAATTTAGGACAAATCAATAAAAATACATAATCTACATAAAACATTGTTATGAACACATGAACATTTCACTAACTCAGGGGTTCATCTACAGATTTTGTTTCGCAGGGTTAAGACTTAATGTTGTGGCAGATTTGTTGTATTAATATTGTATGTTCATGACAGAAACAATCTCAGAACTGATGAGGGTCAACCCAACCCGAAATATATTATTGATAAGATGAGATGTTATTTACGACAGAGGAATACGATATTATATATGGCAGATGTTATGGAATAAGATATTATATACGGCAGATGTTATGGAATAGGATATTATATACGGCAGATGCTATGGTCTAAGATATTATTTTCGACAGATGTTATAGTATAAGATATTATTTACGTCGGATGTTATGGAATACGATATATTTTACGGCAGATGTTATGGACTAAGATATTATTTACGGTAGACGTTATGAACTAAGATATAATTCACGGAAGATTTTAGTAACTAAGTTACTATTTGTGGCAGATTTTAAAGACTTAGATACTATTTGTGGCATTTTTTGGACCCAGTTACTAATTCTGGCAAATTTTATGGACTAAGCATATTACTATGTGCAGCCGTGCTTATGGGTTAAGATACTATTTGTGACAGATTTTATGGACTATTTGGGGGAAATGTTATGGTAAATCCCTGTGGCATGGAGACATGGAGATATAGAAACATAGAAACATATAAGCATAGAGACATATAAGCATAGAGACATAAAGACATCGACACATGAAGACATAGAGACATAAAGACATAGATACGTAGAAACATAGAGACAAATACGAAGAAATAATTTGATGTTTCAGATTGACTAGTAGCTATGGATAACACCGGAGAAGAGACAATGGAATCAAAAAAGGAAACATTTTTTTCTTTATAAATCTTTACCCTAGGAAAAATTAACTAAACCGTTATTATACTTTGAACGGTCTTTTAAAGGACTGTAGGCGATTTACATCGTTTTCCTTTAAAGCTTTGTCTGATTAAGTATTTATCAGATATGCATGTTTTTGTTTATATAAAGTGTTTATTTTTAGTTGTGGTTTCTCTGCAAAAGTGATATGCGCATTTCTTGATTGAAAGAAGCAATGAGAAATTCGCAAAAATAAACACTTAAAAAATTACGTTCTTCCACATTTTATCAGATTAAGGTTTCAAGGCAATCGTTTAAATCGGGCATTGTTATTTTTGCATGGAGGTTTACCTAAATTTGGCTTTCAGTTCAGTCCCTTTAAGGTGACTTTAGGTGACCATCCTAGCTTCCTGTTGCAAATGCCCTAAGTGATTAACAACACTTTACCTTTTTATTCAAATTAACAGATATCTATTTTCTCTATGGAAATTTAAATCTTTTACCTGCGACGGTATTTTTTATTATTAAGACTTGATGACTTAAGATGGAAAAGGCCGCCAACGTAGGTTACATTTCATATAGACAAAAGTCAATGAAAAAGGTTTGAAGGATTTTACTGTTGTGAATCATTTATGACACTTATAGATTAAATGTCTATGAATAAAGCCAGATCTGGGAACTCTTGTATTGTAAATATCGAGATCACTGCATAATCTCGAACTTCTGTTAATCTGCAGATTAATTTAATCTTTATTCTATATCCCGCGTAGTAATCGTACCCAGTCGAGGGTTGAAGGGAGCTTTGATCAGGGAAGGAACAACTAAAGTAAAGATGTGGAGGGGTATAGTTTTTTTTATTGATTTTCAAATTAAAAGTGCGCGCAGTGGATATTGAGATGAAGTGATTAGGATTATAAGTATCCAACACAGATGTTCCCAGCTCACGGTAACGATCTAATATCCTCTTTTTAATCTAAAAATTCATTAAATATTACCAAAAAAATGTTCAGAATGAAAAACGGAAACCACTGATAAATAATACCGATCAAATGGATCAAACACTGCCAGATAATGACGCACAAATAAACAATGACGCACACAAAGATATTGACGCAAAAATACCCAATGACGCACCAATTGATGAGGAAGAAATGCGTACCCGACAGAGGAAACTAGAAAGACAGGTAAGAGCCTTATTCATTATCAATATATTACCAGGGGGCGTATACAGAGTGGGGGGGGGGCTGTAAGAGCTGTAAATGCCCTCCCCCCCCCCACACCTTGTATAAGGGTAGGATATTAAACTCAAAACCTGAATTTGTTTTGTGTTGTCCCAGAGACTTGTTTTATCCCCCATTAATATTAATTCATAATAGTTTTTTTTTTTTAAATGCAAAATAATCCTAACACCATTCCTGATGTATGTTTTTTGGACTAAACTTTTCTTAAATTCATTTTTCGCTTGTACTCGATGACCTTGCCAAAGGTTTATATCTGTTGAAAGTTTAAGGCCGATGTTAAATATTAAATAGAATTGATATTTTAGTGCATTGCAGTTCTACCATTGATCTAGTTCAATCACTAGTTAATATTTAGATATATTGGAAGAGATTGTTCTTCATTTGTTTAACCAGGCCTGTGGTCGGATTTTAGTGCTTTGCAGTTCTACCATTGATCTAGTTCAATCACTAGTTAATATTTAGATATATTGGAAGAGATTGTTCTTCATTTGTTTAACCAGGCCTGTGGTCGGATTTTAGTGCTTTGCAGTTCTACCATTGATCTAGTTCAATCACTAATTAATATTTAGATATATTGGAAGAGATTGTTCTTCATTTGTTTAACCAGGCCTGTGGTCGGATTTTAGTGCTTTGCAGTTCTACCATTGATCTAGTTCAATCACTAGTTAATGTTTAGATATATTGGAAGAGATTGTTCTTCATTTGTTTAACCAGGCCTGTGGTCGGTTTTAATGAATAGTAGTTGAACTTGGTACAGATAGTTGAACTATTTCTCCAGTAAGGTCATAGTTTACTGCACACTGGAGATAGAGTTTAACTTGTACTTCTTGCTATTCATAAAATCTGACTCCGATTCAAAGTAGATTTTTTTTGCCTATTCAATATTTCTTTAATTGTTTTATTAAAAAATAGTGAAATATTTGTAAAATTGTATAGTTTAGATAACTTGAATTCAGAAAAACCAAGAATACGAGGTTGTAACTTTAATTTCCTGTTTTTACATTATAATTTAGATATTACCGTTTTCAGTTTACCTTTCTAATCTACATGCAACTTTAAAAATAAAAACTTAAAGAGCGTACATATCAATGTAATCAATATAGCCATAGTACCAATAAAAAATAAAATTCAACGTCTCTTTTCATTCCTTTATTTTTATCTAAAACGATCAGTCTGATTCTTTATATATTCCTTGAACCAGTTATTTGGTTTAATACTTTAAATAGAAATGTTAAAACGTTTCGAGGAACTACTCCTGTACATTTTGGTAAAATGTTTCCTGAGTTATGAAATTGCATTCAAGAAAGGAATGTGATGCAGGCCATGGAGGATTCATAGTGTGGACTGGGGTTGCAAAAAATTAAGAAAATGAATATATAAATAAAAATTTATTTCGACGACAAAATTATTATAAATAGGAGTAATTAAATGATTGAATTATTCATTAATAGAATTTTGGGTGCTTCGTAACCCCCTTTTCCTTTTCTTGATTTTTTCATATGGTTAAAGCTTTCTTCTTTGTTAGTTCAAAGAAAGTGAACACTTGCTTCAAACTCCATACATTTGGTTGTAATTTTTTGATTATGTATTTCTTGACGCACTGAGTCGGTTGCCTTAACCCCTTGGCGGTTTTATTTAAGTCGATGTCCATTGTCCATTTTCCACCCCTTTCTAGGATCATTTGCTAATCATCTGTTGGCGGAATTCCGCATTGAAAATTCTACGCTTTGAATATAAAATATTAATCCTCCCTTAACTGAGCAATAAAATAAACCACTGAGATTGTGTAGTTGCATTTCTCTTCTTATGCATAGTTCAAGTATATTTGTAATTTATGTGAATTTTCTTTTTGCTTCTTGTTCGGGTAAAACTTTAAAAAACAGTTATTTTTTTCAGAGGTGTTTTTATTTTTTTAAGAAACTAGAAATCTGTGCAATTATTGTCGTCTTCGTATTTCTTTCTATAAAAAATCATTTTCTATTTCCGTTTAAAAATAATGAACTAAGTTTTAAATTTGTGTGTACAAATTTGTTGAGGTATAGATTTGAGACGTTATTTTCTGCTTTATCCGGTCTAAGCTGAAAACTTCAGAATAATATATCCTTAATCACGATCGCTTAATCTCAGGGGTCCATATAATTCCTTTTTCAATCCCATTTGGGATTGACAAATTTGAAAGAAATGGGGGCAAATTTTAAAAAAATGATAATTTAAAAAAAATTGGGGGCATTTTTTTAAATTGGGGGCAAATGTGTTAGTAAATTTGAAAATGTTTTTTAATTGGGGGCATTTTTTATAATTGGGGGCAAATGGGGGCAAATGTGTTAGTGGAATTTGAAATTTTATTTAAATTGGGGGCAAATGTGTTAATGGAGTTTGAAAATGTTTTTTAAATTGGGGGCATTTTTTACAATTGGGGGCAATTTTTTCCCAATTTGGGGCAATTGGGGGCAAATGAGTTAGTGGAATTTGAAATTTTATTTAAATTGGGGGCAAATGTGTTAGTGGAATTTAAAATGTTTTTTAATTGGGGGCATTTTTTGTAATTGGGGGCATTTTTTATAATTGGGGGCAAATGGGGGCAAATGTGTTAGTGGAATTTAAAATGTTTTTTAATTGGGGGCAATGGGGGCAAATGTGTTATTGGAATTTAAAATTTTTTTAAATTGGGAATTTTTTTCAAATTGGGGGCAATGGGGGCAAATGTGTTAGTGGAATTTGAAAATTTTTTTTTTTAATTGGGGGCATTTCTTTTTACAATTGGGGGAAAACAATTATTTTGGGATCGAGAAAATCAGCAATTTTGGGAATTAAATGGACCTTGCTTAACCTTAGTATCCAATGTACACACTTTTGATTTTCCTCTGATAATCCTCTTTTCGGATATTTCTACTGTATAAAAGTTACGTTTGATAACAATTACAGATACAATGCTATATCGATTGGACTAATATACGTTTGAATTAAAGTCAGCTGTTCACAAGCCAGCTTTTAAAGCATTTAAGCTATTATAAATTTAATCATGTTCATATGAAATTATTAAAAAACATATTTTAGGACTTTTGTCATTTTGAACGTTAGTCTTAATAAATATTAATCCAAAACTTACGTTCGTTCAATCGATGTTTAGTTCAACTGATATGACACCATCAACACCAGAAATCCAAACCGGTTTTTCATAAGTTAAAGAGTACATCTTAACATGAAACGCTGATTGGTTAATTCTTTAACTTCTTTCTTGGATATCGAATGCGTTTTAAAATAATCTTGGGTTTAGTTAACCAGGAGTTTAAGCATTAATCTTGATATCTACCATTCTAAAGTTTTCAGCCCTGAACGGTTTAAACCTTGGATGGTATAGATTCAGATGAATTTTTAATGATGAAAATATCTAGGAATCAGTGGAGCAGTCCAGGAGTAGTCTTAGTAACATCTCAGCAGATAGTCTAAATATAGAGAGTTTTACCCAGGTATAGTCCAGGAGTAGTCTTAGTAACATCTCAGCAGATAGTCTTAATATAGAGAGTTTTACCCAGGTATAGTCCAGGAGTAGTCTTAGAAACATCTCAGCAGATAGTCTTAAATATAGAGAGTTTTACCCAGGTATAGTCTTAGTAACATCTCAGCAGATAGTCTAAATATAGAGAGTTTTACCCAGGTATAGTTTTAGTAACATCTCAGCAGATAGTCTAAATATAGAGAGTTTAACACAGGTATAGTCCAGGAGTAGTCTTAGTAACATCTCAGCAGATTGTCTAAATATAAAGAGTTTTACCTAGGTCGGTCAAAACTTGTTTTTTTAAGAGAAGAAGTGTGTTTCGCTTCTTCAATTGGAAAACTGAAAAATCCTCGTAAAAGTAAAATGATCTAAATGAAATTCCAAATAACACCATAAAAAATCAAATGTAGTGATGTAGGTATCTTTTTATTCCACTTTGAGAAACTGTGGAGCTCTGAAGTAAAAATTCGCAATAAATGGATGTGACAGTTTCCCTTAGTCGATAATAACAAAATTTGTTATTATATATATTATATTTTATTTTATTATCACTAGGATGTGAATCCGTGTGCTGGATATTCTAGCTCTCTTTATACAGGTAACAAACCTCTATAAGAGATTATTGTATATTCTAGCTCTCTTTATACAGGTAACAAACCTCTATATGAGATTATTGTATATTATAGCTCTCTTTATACAGGTAACAAACCTCTATAAGAGATTATTGTATATTCTAGCTCTCTTTATACAGGTAACAAACCTCTATAAGAGATTATTGTATATTCCAGCTATCTTTATACAGGTAACAAACCTCTATAAGAGATTATTGTATATTCCAGCTCTCTTTATACAGGTAACAAACCTCTATAAGAGATTATTGTATATTCTAGCTATCTTTACACAGGTAACAAACCTCTATAAGAGATTATTGTATATTCCAGCTCTCTTTATACAGGTAACAAGCCTCTATAAGAGATTATTGTATATTCTAGCTCTCTTTATACAGGTAACAAACCTCTATAAGAGATTATTGTAACAACAAATATTTCACAGGTTCGAAAGAGAAATCTAACACTTCTGGTTTTGAATAAGTAACAAGTTTTTTCTTTACTGTCTAATAATAGTTTGAGTCTCCCCTTATTTTCTTGCAATGCTTAGAATCAATTTTGATGCAGATCTATAAAAAAAACTTTGTTCATGTTTGAATGATAAATTATATATTATTTAGAGGTTCTATCAATGTCTTTTTAGTCAAAAATATAAGATTGTGTGTATTAGGAAAATATGTATGTTTGCTGTATATTTTGGTTTATAATATGCCCCCTGGATATGTAATCTGGATCTATGGAACCCTATATTTTTTCGGATCTTAACCACTGTTTTCTAGGATTGATGAATACTCAACAACAATCTCAAAGCTGTGAAAACCTTCTGAGTGAAAATTTCAGGTTTTTTAAGATTAGATTTTTAAGTGCAAAACTTTATAATAATAATTTTGGTATATTTATCGAAAATATTTCTAGCAAGAAAAAGCGCCTTTCTTGATAGAAAAGTTTTCTTTGCTAAGGCGAATTTTCTAAAAACATTATAGAATTAAGGTTTAAAAGCTCCTAGCTCCAATAACAAGTAAATTCCAAAAATAAAACTTTGCATAATCTTTGGATTCATTATGGAAAATCCATGACATGGACTTCCTTGGGGTGGCTTACTTGATAAAGAATGACCCTAATGTGATAATGTCTAATTAATAACCCTTATTTCTTACCCCTTAGTGAGAACGGAAGTGATACTGAAACTGAGCTTCTGGATACAGTTAAACCTTGCGAAAATAGTAATAGCAGGGACGAAGGATCTGGGAGTAGGGACGAACTCGGCAGCCGGGACGAACTCGAAAAAATTGGAGAAGACGACCGCGAGGACGAGGTTTTGTCTGAAAAAACGGAGGATGGAGCGTATGCGCGGAATTACGAGCTGGATGATTTGGAGGAGAGCTTCTTGTTCGAGGAGGGGTTGAACTTGGAGGAGTTCAACCAGTTGGAGCAGTTCAATCAGCTAGAGTTGATGAGAAGAGAGAGGTTGGATACAGTTGAGGAGATAACGGAACCTGCCAGGTTAACATTAAACAACACACTATCCTTTTGTGGGGGGTTAACGGGTGGGGGAGGGTGCAGTGCTTCCCACACCTGGCGGCGGTTTGGGGGTTCCACATTGGGGGTTTTTTGTAGATTCCAGTTCCTTATGTTCCTTTTAAAGAGTACCAATAGCGATTCTGTAAATCTTAATCTCAAAAACTATGGTCTTAATGGGACTGTCGACCTAATTTTTATGTGACGTTGACATTCACATTTAAACTCGTTTTAATCACTAAAATCGGACAGTTTTTAGTTCTTGTTTTTGTTATAGTAGCACTTAAAGGGACTGTAAAGGAAAAATGAAAGACCTGAGCATTTTAGGAGTTGATCCGTCCATTTTCTCAATTTTTAAATAAAAAAGTGTCGCCAATGATAATTTAAAGAAGACATTAAAGGTACATTTTAATTTTCTGAATTTCTTGAAGATATAAAAAATGTTTGTATTTAGCACGAGTAACTCTCTAGCCTTTGATCCATACCGCTGGTCCAGTCAGCATACTTCTTTAACTTCAAACGATTTCCTGAACAGTCTGACCCTTCTAGACGAGGATCCTCAGCCTCACTTGCAGGTCAGCTTCTTACAGTTCTTATATTCATCTTAAATGTTGGTTTTGTTGTTTTTTTTATGTTTATTTTTGTTGCTTTTGTTATTTTTATTGTTGTTGTCGTTGTTGCAAATGTTTTTTTGTTTTTCTTGTTGTTATTGCAAATCTTTTTTTTCTTGCTGCTGCTGTTGTTGACGATTTAAATTTTTTGTTGTCATTATTGTTGCTGTTGTTGCTAATATTGTCTTTTTTTGTGGATACTCGTGTTTTTGTTACTACTGTCGATGTTGTTGATTTTGCTGTTGCTTTTTGACGTTGTTTTGTTTTTGTAGTTGTTTAGGTTAATGTTTTGTTGTTTATAATGATTCTATTGTTGTTTCTTTTACGTTTGATGTTTAAAAATTTAATCTTATCTCTTAAAGATTCTTTTTTTTATTATTTTTTTTTTTTTAGTCTTTGTGTTCCAATACGTCTAAAGAAGAACCTTACAGTGTCAGTGAAATAGAGATCAGGAATGATTATCAGATAAGAATAAGGTACGTTAAAAAATCTTTAACATGATTTATAGAAAATGTCAAAATTAGATTCAGATTCGGGCTGAAATCCCGTTTTGCAGTCAGGACTTGAACCTCCAGGCTGCTTAATGGAGCCTGAAGTTTTCCCTAAATTCATGATTTGATTTGATTTGATTTGATGTACTTTTTAGTCATAGTTTTTATTTGACAAAATATAACGTAATAAAATAGTTTTAACAGTGAGATTGGACTTTCTTCTAAAACCTAATAAAAGAAACTGTACATTTAATTATAAGTGACCGTTTATCTGAATATCTACATGCATGAATCAAAACGATAACCTTAAAGGGACTGTAAGCGTCATTTTAAGTGACCCTTTATGCTAAAGTGACAATGCCCGATGCACAACAGTACCCTTATAACCTTTGGGTGGTCTAGTTTGAATTATATATCAATGTTTATGATTTTTAATCTTCAAAAGTGACTTGCGCATATCTACTGCAAGAAAACATTTATGTATAGTCAGAATTAAACACTTATTTAAACCAAGAACACTATAAAATCTTCAACATTATAGATTCTGATTAAGCTTTCATCGATAGCTTTGTGAATCTAGTATTCCCATCTTTGCACGAAGGGTCACTTGAAATTACGCTTACAATCCCTTAAAAAGGAACCTTTTCCAATTAGTGAAGTTAACTTTTATATTGAAGGTCAATTGAAATTACGCCACGTAGTCTTTTAAGGTTGATTATGTATAATGTACAATTTGTTTTTTCAGTGAGACGACTCAAAGTTCAGATAAAGAATCAGTTTCTAGTGTTCAAGGGAGTACCTGGAGAAATAGGTAGGAACAGAATTAAATTCTTTTTTCCAGTGCTTAGGATCCATCATCCATGTAATTTTGATTCGGATCCAAATCCTGGATCCGCAGTAAAAAAAAATGGATCCGGATCCAGGTCATAAACATTTCTGTAAGATTTACCGAATTTTTGAACAGAAGAAGAATTTTCATATTCTTTTTCTTTCGCTTTTTAAGGTTAAACTTGATGAATTATTCAGAGTTAAGGAAATTTTTGATAATTTCTCTTTTGTTCCACAATTTAGATTTGGGTTTTGAGAGTAAACAAATTTTTGTTTGCAGTTTTTGGTTGATATTTTGCTCTTTGGACCTAGATCCAGGAAGCCAAAATGCTTTTTTAATTTTTTATTTTAATGAAAGGTTTCCTAAAACTAAAAAAACATAGATGAGTTGGAGTCATTTGCAAAATTTTGATATTTTGATATTTTAATATTTTAATATTTTTAGATATTGAAATATAAGAATATGTATCCTTGTAATATACTGATATGTATACCTGTATTCTACTGATATCGAGAATATGTATCCCTGTAATATACTGATATGTATCCCTGTATTCTACTGACAAATGAAATATGTATCCCTGTATTTTATGAATAGCGAATGATTTGCTAGTTTTTAACTAATTTGCTATAGGTAAAGGGAATATTAAAGATACACTGCTCTACTGCCCCTGTCTAATCTTTAAATTGCATACTTTCAATCTTTTAATGTGTAGAGTGTTGACGGTAGACTGTAGACTGTAGAGTGCAGAATCCATAGTGTTTGGCCATAGTGTAGAGTAGCATGTAGCGTGTAGATTGTAGAGTGTAAAGTGTAGAGTGTAGAGTGTAGAGTGTAGAGTGTAGAGTGTAGAGTGTAGAGTGTAGAGTGTAGAGTGTAGAGTGTAGAGTGTAGAGTGTAGAGTGTAGAGTGTAGAGTGTAGAGTGTAGAGTGTAGAGTGTAGAGTGTAGAGTGTAGAGTGTAGAGTGTAGAGTGTAGAGTGTAGAGTGTAGAGTGTAGAGTGTAGAGTGTAGAGTGTAGAGTGTAGAGTGTAGAGTGTAGAGTGTAGAGTGTAGAGTGTAGAGTGTAGAGTGTAGAGTGTAGAGTGTAGAGTGTAGAGTGTAGAGTGTAGAGTGTAGAGTGTAGAGTGTAGAGTGTAGAGTGTAGAGTGTAGAGTGTAGAGTGTAGAGTGTAGAGTGTAGAGTGTAGAGTGTAGAGTGTAGAGTGTAGAGTGTAGAGTGTAGAGTGTAGAGTGTAGAGTGTAGAGTGTAGAGTGTAGAGTGTAGAGTGTAGAGTGTAGAGTGTAGAGTGTAGAGTGTAGAGTGTAGAGTGTAGAGTGTAGAGTGTAGAGTGTAGAGTGTAGAGTGTAGAGTGTAGAGTGTAGAGTGTAGAGTGTAGAGTGTAGAGTGTAGAGTGTAGAGTGTAGAGTGTAGAGTGTAGAGTGTAGAGTGTAGAGTGTAGAGTGTAGAGTGTAGAGTGTAGNAAAAATGTGAAGTAAAAAACTGAAATATATATATATATATATATATAAAAATATATGAATGAATATATTCCCTTAACTATTTCTAATCTAGGGATAGTGTATTAGAGCCTGCAGACCTGAGTTCAAGAAAAGCTAAGGTACAGGGGACACTGGGACAGTTTCATTCAAACCATGGGATACTAAACTTTATATATTTATACAGGGGTTGCTAAAACCCTTGGGAATCATTGGCGTTTAAAATTATATTATTATTATATTATCTTATATTTTTCTGGAAATGTTTAGGGCACACACAAATATACCAGTCGCTAATTACAAAATTCTCAGTGATCGTTTTATAAATGAATTTTAAAAAGACGCCAATTATACAACTGTACTTTGATTTTTATCGTATGATGAATGAAATTTACTAAGAAAACTGTCCGATTTGTCGCTAACCAAGCTTTTCAATTTAGATGTCACATTTAATATTTGTTCATAAATTATGTATGGAAACAACTATAACACGTACCTCTGACCCTTTAGTAAAAGTAAATTTAACCTGAAGTCTGACCGCGTCAACCTTGTTGCACCGGCTAGTCCTATTGACTGTCCGTTTTATTTACCCAATGTCAGGGCGATACAGTACAAACTGGCACCGAAAAGGTTGACCCGGCTAGTAAATTCAAATGTACTACGGCTGCCCGTGGTAAAGTTGATTTTAAGTTTTCATAAAATAATAAAAAATTCTCCATGATGCGTTTTTATCAAGTATATAATCACAATACAGGTTTGACGTAGTTATTTACAGAAGTAGCTAGGTTAGGTTAATCACAATACAAGTTTTGAGTAGCTATTTACAGAAGTAGCTAGGTTAGGTTAATCACAATACAAGTTAAAAATATAGTTAAATTCCCCCTAAATAAAACATACTTTTATATTAGATAAATAAAATTATTTTTAAAGAGAGGACAGGTATTGAGTATTGATGTTAAAGAAATATCCCTGCTCAAGCTTTTTAATTAATTTATTGTGAGAAAGAGACAATTAATTTGATAAATGTTTTTATTCATTTTAAAAATTATCATATTACATTTTTTTTACAAACTTTTGTTTTGTTTTCTGAGTTTACTTTTATCTGTAGACCTATTTAAAGTATTTGTCAGAATAAAGATTGCCTTAACTTTAGTTCGCAAGTCAAATCAAAAACATTATAAAAATTATCTAAAAATTTTTTTTTTTAATATTTATGTTCTCTTTATATATCTAGATGGTTTAATTAAATAAAAAATTACATCAGCCATATTTTAAGAAAATAAAAACATTTACTTTAAATAGCGTCAGCGAGTTCAGAGGCCGAATTTAAAGAATTCAAACCGCGTCGCTGAACCGCCAAAAACCGGTTCCAATTGAGCGCTGGCTCAAATCTCGAAACATTGCATACAATGTCAAGGGAAACTAACCATGTTTGAGCTCAAATTCTTTTAATTCGTCCTTTGTCTTAAAACATAATTATCTTAAGATATATTTGGTCCAAGTTAAAATCAATATTTTCAGATTGTTTCCTCCGAGACAAAATCTACTCTGCTTGGATTGAACAACAGTAATCAAGGTGATGTATTTATGTTAACATTATGCTTCTTGACTAGGCGCTTCGTGCCCAGGGAGTAAGGAATAGAAGGGAGATACAACTGACGCGGTTCGTCCTACCATAGGATTATACATCAGTTATATCTCCCTTCTATTCCTTACTCCCGGTTGAGCCCCTCTTAAAGGGACTATGTAAGCGTAATTTCATATGACCCTCCATGCAAAGAGGGCTGTGCTCTATACAACGGTACCCTTTAAACCTTGAATTGATGTAAAACCCAGTATAAGCTGCGTACAGTGTGAACTCAACACTTCTAAGAGAAACCACAATAGAATAGAATCAACTTTCAAATATAAGATGACAACCAGCTCATCTGATCTGATTATACTTTAGGGATACCGTTGTGAATCGGAAATGCCACTATTACGGAACGTTACTTAAAATTACGTCTACAGTACCGTTTAATGTTTTCCAGAATAGTAAAATTATAATTCATAATTTTTTTTTAATAATTAAACAAATTATTGGAAATTATTTCTACTCTAGACCAGAACCCTGGAAGATGTTCTAGTACTCCATCTTCGAGTCTGAGTCCCAATCCGTCCAATTCCGGGCTGTTCATCGTAAACACTAGAGAGAAACTTGAACAAACACTCGAAGTTACGCAAAATTTCACATCAAATTTGACTAAAACTGACTCATCTGCGGTTGGTTCAACGGAACGAATAAAGCTCCGCGAATCTGCTGAATCTGAATCAAAACAAGAGGACAAGAATACATATCAGAGTAGAGGATACACACGCCAAGAAGTACCAAGATATGAGTATAAAAGCAGTAGCTACGCGGGTCAGGAGGAACATGAGAGCTACAGAAGTAATGTTAGTCTAAGTAGTGAGAGTAGCAGTAATCTTAACAGCGCTGCTTCAGAGATATGTCCAAGGTAATTAATAGCCTTTAATACGCTCTTAGTTCGATGTTCGATGTTGATCTTAATAATGTGCGTACTCTGTATATCAATTTGTTCTTAAATGCATATAATGCATTTTTTTCTGTTGCGTCTATAAGGAGAAACTTGTTAAAGACGTCTCATACTGAATTCAGAAAATTGCAACATACAACTTAGACCGTAAAAAATCCATTTAATTTCAAACAAATCATTCAGATAGTACAACCTATAGTCATCGATTATCTTTCGCCACATTTGTATATAGTTTATATTTTATAATATTTTATTTTTTTAGAAAACGTTTTAACTGATTTCGAAAAATATGATTGGTCCGCGGCATTCTTAGATAGTTGCGCAAGCCGCAAGAGAAATAATCAAATTCAAAACAAATTAATTAAAAAATATATAAAATATAAACTATAAACAAATGTGACGAAAGATAATCGATGACTATAGGTTGTAATATCTAAATGATTTGTTTGAAATTAAATTGATTTTTTTACGGACTAAGTTGCATGTTGCAATTTTCTGAATTTGTATGGACTGTAAGTTATTCGGTATGAGACGTTTTTAACAAGTTTCTCCTTATAGACGCAACAGATAGAAGTAAGATTATTAGCGATTAAAAGCGCTTTTTTATTGCATTAAGCCTATACCTCCTTTCATTTTTCGCGAACACTCCCTTTAAACACTTCATGTTATTCAGATATTTTATGTTTCTTTATAACCAGTCCTTTGTTATTTTAGGTTATGCCTTGCCCTTTTTTGTACTCTTCTTCTTCTTGTCGCAAGAACTTTGAATAATTTTTATAAAAATTCCTTGATTTGGCTTCCTTATAATAATTCTATATTAAATATATTTATATAGCTTATAATCATGATTATAAATACTAGGCCTTTTCATTCTTGATATAACAGTTAGGGAATTGATTATGGAAATTGAAAGAAGGCATCTAATGATTCTCAATAATTGGTACCTCCCACATTAGTTTAAGATCAAAGTAGTCCCTTTAAAATAAAAGTTATGCTATATTTTTTCAAATTTGTTTGTTTAGATTTGAGAGGGAAAGCAGGTTAGCTAGACAGCTAGCTGAGGTTAAACAAGGAATATATAGACTACTTAGTGTAGACAGTGATGAGCATAGTTTAGGTAAATAAACATTACTATGTAAGGACGGGATACGTAATTTTATAGGAACTGTAAGCGTAATTTCAAGTGATCCTGAATGCTAAGATGGCCATGCTCTATTTTTAACGGTACCCTTGACACCCTATCTGATCTAAATGTGGAAGATATAATATATAATGATGTGGTATAATCCACATATATCCTGGCAGCAATATAAAGTTTAACATTTTTTAAAGACTGGTCAACTTTTAAGTGTCGCAACGCCTAGGCTTTTCATTTTGCCTTTTTTGTAGCGCCGGACATGTACATTGTACAGTAAAGAAAGCTTAAGTATTGTCTTAAATAATTCGCATAATCTTTGATTTTTGCAACATTTTGCTCACTAGGAATTAAGAATGAATGAGACATCCTTGATTGACTGTTTTAAATTTGAGGTTCTCTATACCGTTGTAAATCAGGCATGGCCCTTTTTATATTTATAGATGTAGAGTATATATACATATTTCTATGTTACAGATAAGAGTGTATAGTATAGATGCAGAGTATACATTTCTTTTTTACAGATTAGGAGTGTAGTAGTGTGGATGTAGAGTATATTTATATCTATGATACATTTAAGGAGTGTAGTAATATAGATGCAGAGTAAATATATATATTTCTATTTTACAGATAAGGAGTATAGTAGTATAGATGTAGAGTATATATATATTTCTATTTTATAGATAAGGAGTATAGTAGTTTAGATGTAGAATATAAATATATATTTCTATTTTACAGATAAGGAGTATAGTAGTATAGATGTAGTGTAGAGTATATATATATATTTCTATTTTATAGATAAGGAGTGTAGTAATATAGTTGTAGAGTATATATATATTTCTATTTTACAGATAAGGAGTTTAGTAGTATAGATGTAAAGTATTTATATATTTCTACTTTATAGATAAGGAGTATAGTAGTTTAGATGTAGAATATATATATATTTCTATTTTACAGATAAGGAGTATAGTAGTACAGATGTAGTGTAGAGTATATATATATTTCTATTTTATAGATAAGGAGTATAGTAGTATAGATGTAAAGTATATATATGTTTCTATTTCAGATAAGGAGTATAGTAGTATAGATGTAGAGTATATATATATTTATATTTTATAGATAAGGAGTATAGTAGTATAGATGTAGTGTAGAGTATATATATATTTCTATTTTATAGATAAGTAGTGTAGTAGTATAGATGTAGAGTATATATATATTTCTATTTTACAGATAAGGCGTATAGTAGTATAGATGTAGAGTTTTTATATATTTATATTTTATAGATAAGGAGTATAGTAGTATAGATGTAGAGTATATATATATTTCTATTTTACAGATAAGGAGTATAGTAGAATAGATGTAGATTATAAATATATTTCTATTTTATAGATAAGGAGTATAGTAGTATAGATGTAGAGTATATATATATATTTCTATTTTACAGATAAGGAGTGTAGTAGTATAGATGAAGAACAAATAGATTTCACTGAACCTGATTCTGCTGCTAGAGAAGAAACTGAGGAAGAGGATTCTAGCCGTAGTGTTGATCTTGATCTAAGGTTAGATTTTTGTTCAATTTTAAGTCCGCTAGACAAAAAAAGATATATAAAAATGTGTAATGTTATGGTTGAAGGTAAAAAATGATAAATAAAAACTTGCATTTCCAACGGTTGAATGCTGAGTTTAAAAAATGTGTAATTCCAGCGGTGGAAACAAAAATAGTATTATTGTAGTAAATGCCCTACTCCAATAAATATTTTTAGATTGGTACCAATCCAGTTACAGTCAATTTCGAACTCATTTGATTTGCGGATTTTATAATCCTCATTCGGGGATTTCATCCTACAACATGCGATTTATGATTGACTCGATTATTATGATTGATTTTTTATTACAGTTTTTGGTTGTTTGTTGGAGCCTATAATGCAATTTAATTTGGTATCTTTAACCTTCGGCAAAAACATCTATTTACAAGGAATAAGGGGGGGGGGGGGGTAAAAAACAGATTTAAACGTCATTTTTCTGTTGCAGCAGTGTTAAAAATTTATTTATATTTATTTAATTATTTCTTGATCTGATTTTTTTTAATTTTATTATTAGTTTATAATTGGTCAAATAAATTGAGTATTTGTCACTAACTCTGATTTTCTAATTCCTATATATTTGCAACCTGATGGTGCACACTTTCGAGCTTAGATTATTTGATCTAACAGAATTCATAGTTATCTAAGGTATTCGACATTGGGGTTAAAAGATATAGGAGTAGAAAATCAGAGTTTGTGGCAAAGATGTGATTGTTTGTAGGGATAAGAAGGAGAAGCATGAGTGGGAGGGGAATGAGAAAGGATTGCTGGAGTGTGAAGGAGGAGGTGGAGGGGTAGAGAAGGAGGTAAATTTCAGCATCAGCACCAATTCAAGGCGATTTGTTTCACAAAAACTGCGAAGTCTTATATTTACAGGGTTACCCACAAAGAATGAGACTGTACAGACGACTTTAAACTCTTCCAAAATGAAGAGTTTAAAGTAAGTCTTCTGCCTCGCAATTTTGTACAGTCGTCTGTGAAGTCTCATCCTCTGAAGGTAACCCTGTACGTTCAAACTTTTCTAACAGTTCGGTTTTTTGTAAATATGAAAAAAAGTTATTGCTGCAGAAGGTATAGCCCTGAACAAAGCCAATTAATAGTTAATGAATTATTTGAAAAACCTACTTGATTTATCTCTTCTGACTGGCGTCGAAGATTTGACCATAGCGCTTGTATGGGATACAATAATTTTGAAACATTTACTACAATTTTTGCTATTAACTGAGGCTTTTCAAGTCGCCATTTTGTCATCTTTCTCCTGAAAACAAAAATTATCAAGGATTTTATGTTTAAATTACGGGATTTTCAGAAAATCGTTAAAACCTTCCCCAAATTTACGTGAGTTCTCCCAATTGGGTTGGCATATTTAACATTTATTAGATACAAACAGACAAGCTAAAATTATAAAAGATTCTCAGTTGTTTGTGGAGTATCCTAAGAAGCCTTAAAATCTGAATGTTTCAAGTGATCCTCCATGCAAAGATGGCAGTGCTCGATTCACGTACCCTATAAACGACATTATCCTCTAAATAATTAATCAGATAAAGGTTTCAAGCGTACCGTTGTCAATCGGGCATTGTCATCTATGTTAAGTTCTTTCTCAAAGGCACTTTACAAAGCGGCAACTATTTTCCCAAACATCCCAAGTCTGTGTCAGCTGCAGCACTCGGTCCCTAGCCGGTTCTAGGCGTAGCGCTAGCTCCCCCCCCCCCATTGCAGCCTGCTGGGCCTCAAATTGGCTAAACTAACATTTTGGAAGTTGCCACTTGGAAAATTGCACATTTGGAAGTCGTCATTAGGAAAATGCCTTTGTGAAAATACATAAAACCTTGCCAGCATTGCATGAGGGTCACCTGTAAGCACGCTTAATTACTGTTACTTAAAGCAAAGGATAAAAACAATACCTAACTCTAGGAACAGGGAACAGATAGTGGTATAGAGAGGATGAGTAGTGCTGGAACAGGAACCCCTGGATGGATGGGCAGGTTGGGGAAAAAGGTCCGTCGTGTCAGGATCGGGTCCGGAGGTCATTCAACAACAAGCTCATCTCCAGATGACCGCCATGACAGGTGACCAGTTTGTTCTAACACCCAGTCCCAGGTCATTATAGATTTTTACGGAATATTTTATTGGTTTTTTGTCTTATTTACTATTTTAATCAATATTCTTTATTAAATTGTTATTATTTTTTTTAATATTCATGATTATTATTATTATCATTATCATCATTATCCTCATTACTATTACTATTGCTATTGCTATTGCTATTGCTATTGCTATTGCTATTACTATTGCTATTGCTATTTCTATTGCTATTGCTATTGCAATTGCTATTGCTATTGCAATTGCTATTGCTATTGCAATTGCTATTGCTATTGCTATTGCAATTGCAATTGCTATTGCTATTGCTATCGCTATCGCTATCGCTATCGCTATTGCTATTGCTATTGCTACAACTATTTTTGCATGCACTTGCTTCAGCGATAAACCAGAAAACTCTGAAATATTAAAACGACTTTTAGAATCAAGTTATAACTTTTAAAAGTCCAATGAGCATGAAACACAGCAAATGTTTCACTAAATTTGTGATTTAATAAATGTTTAGTAAAACATACTTGCTTTGTAACAGTACAATCAATACACTTAAGCATTGCTATAATGTCGTCTTCCAATACCATCGTTTTCTAGTTATCACTGTATTAGGAAATGATAATATACATTTCTATCTATAAATTAATATTAATTTAAAGTGAACAAATAAGATATATTGACTAAACTTTATATATTCAGCGTAAACTTTTGAACTAGAGGAGTAAATTTTGATTTCAGTAAATTCCAAGGAATCATCAAAACACTGTCAGGATTTTATATTTTCCTGAATTCCCCCCCCCCCTCTCTCTCTCTTTAATAATCTGAATCCCCCCTCTCTCTTTAATAATCTGAATCCCCCCCTCTCTCTTTAATAATCTGAATCCCCCCTCTCTCTTTATTAATCATTTTTTTTTCTGAATTGGGTAAACAAATAAAGGAATTGAGATTTTGCCACAAACGCAAATTTTCTAATCCTTTATATCTTTGAAACATGATGATGTAAACCTTAGAATAATTTATCTAATAAAATTCATATATGGCCTACAAGGCTACGATATCGGGTTGAAGAGATATGGGTAGAAATAAATCATATTTTGTGGCAAAAACGTATAGAATGAAAAAGTATTGGATGAAAAAATCTGCAATTCTTGAAATGTATACTCCTGAACAGGGAACACTGTTGAAAAAAATGCTTAAAAGATCATGATGGCTGTGTTAGACGCCTTAACTGGGGGAGGCAGTCGACTTAGCGCGTTATGAACGAATTTATAGATAAAAAGTTTAGGCCTCGAAGTGCGAGTACAGAAAGTCCCCGCGAGGGTGGGTTCGGACCAGATCGTAACATTGTTCTTGAATCTAGAGTCAGAGAACTCTGGGTTCGACTTGCTCAGATGGAGACGGAGAAAATAAAGGTTTGGTTTTATTTCTCTTTTCATGGGAAAGAAAGAGGACCATCACAAAAACACACATAGCCTAAAGAAAGAAGGAACATATACCATATTTACCGCTTTACTTTGAATTCATATCAATAACTACAAAATTTGTCACTGAGAAATGATTCAGTAAACAACAGAAGTCTCATTATAGTTAAACAATGCCGTTTAAATGTCGCGTTATCCTTGATATTTTTAATTAATTGATATCGAATATAAACTACTTCTCCATTTTAGATAATTATATCTTTGACCACTTTTTTTAGTTAATTCCTGTGTTAACTGGTAGGTAGGGTTGTAAATTGTTTTGTGTTTGAGGGTTTGTGGACTTTTCAAGGGTTCCACTGAAATCTCAGTATTATTACAAATTTCAAAATGGTTTATTCTAACAATTGCACTATGCAAAATATCCCTGTGAGAAAATTTATACAAAAAAATATTGATGTCATAAAAGCAATCTTTGACAGAATACAGTTTTAAAATGTCAAAAGTTTTAGTAAAAGTTTTTATAAACTGAACCAAAACGATATAACTTAGCTGTTTTTTAGTATTTGAATAATGTCTAATTGCTGTTTAGGCTGTGGAGTTTGCTGTTGAACAGGAGCGAAGGAGAACTGAACAGCTTCTCGATCAGGAGCGTCGTGGAGTTGAACAGGAGTTGAGGCGGATCGAGGAGGAGAGAATGAGGATGGATGAGGAGAGGATGAGGATGAACGAGGAGAGGAGAGGAATGGAGAGGATGGCGGAGGAGCTAGAGATGAAGGAGAAGGGTTTGGTGGAGGCACAGGAGAGACAAGTTCATCTCACCAACAGTTTGCAGGTCATGAAACATTGTAAACTTACTTCATACGTTTGTATTCATGTATTCCAGGTTTTTCATTTATTCCAGTTATTCCTGGTATTCCAGTTATTCCAGTTATTCCAGTTATTCCAGTTATTCCAGTTATTCCAGTAATTCCAGGTATTCCGGGTATTCCATGTATTCCAGGTATTACAGGTTTTACTGGTATTCCAGGTATTCCAGTAGTTTCAGGTATTCCATGTATTCCAGGTATTACAGGTATTACAGGTAATAATATTGCAGGTATTCCATATTAATGATTACATGCATCCAATCACAACAACCTGTACCTTCAAAATTTTTTCTGATCAAAATTTACTGAAATACCTTCTCTTTTTTCTGAAAATTAGATTGCTTTTTATTGCAATTTAATTTATCACTGAATAAATAGCATTTTTAACTTTCCAGATATTAACGGCGATTTTTTAATTATTGTTTAAAACGTTTACAGGGTATACCATTTTACAAAGGACATGTATAGAAATAATCTATATAGTAAAACAAGACATTCGTTTATAAATATGTTGCCTATAGCGGCCAAACGGCCCTTCAGCTAGTATAATATAATATAGAAAGTTAGTATAGTTTACCCATACTCAGAGTACACCCCCCTTTCAAAGAAAAGAGCCCTGTTTCTATAATAATTAAATAAATCGCTTTGTAAAGAAATAATTGAATCTCCCGTGTTAGTTATGAATAGACCAGAAAACCTTTTAGTGTTGGTATTGTTCAAGTTTGTTGGTAAACATTAGAATATACTATATATACTGTTTTATACTGTCAGTTATACTGCATCAACATCCATGCACACTGCTTTACAGGGGTCCATATTATTCCATTTCTTATCCCAAATGGGATCGGGATTGAAAATACATTTGGGAGCATGAAAATACATTTTCTGTGACATTGAGAACTTTGGCAAGTTTTCTGTGTACATATACTACACTTCAGAAATATGTACTGCATTTGGGGTGTTATAAGATGTACATATCAGTAATCAATATAAGAGTTAAATTATGATGTATACAGAAAAATAAACACTACCTTGCCGTATACATTCATCCTTATGAAATGTTTTCTACAACTTGACATCATTCTTCTAATTGTTTACAACATCAACATGGTTAATTTCTGCCCCTTTATATCAATCAATCAACATTTGGGATCGTATTGGATGGAATTATATGGTTCCTGCTGCTTTAAGGATTATATGCTCGTTTAACAGTAATGGAGTTTGTTTATTGCAAGGTGAAAATATACAGGGGTAACCAGAAAGCATGAGATAACAAAGACGATTTTGTAGATGTTAAACACTTTCCCTTTAGCTGTGAACTTAATGAGAAAATTACCC